TTTTTTCTTTCCAGAAACTCATTTTTATCCTGTGGGTTTCATCTTAACTCCAACATCATGTCTAGTTCTAATGGTGCTAAAGAGAATTCGCACAACAAGGCTCGAACATCTCCGTATCCTGGTTCAAAAGTCCAACGCAGCCAGGTTCCAAATGAGAAAGTAGGATGGTTTGTTGAGTGGCAAGACTATAATCCTGTGGAATACACTGCTGTCTCTGTCTTGGCAGGACCCAGGTGGGCCGATCCTCAGATCAGGTGAGCAAACTAGTCAGTGTTAGCTGGTAGCTGGGTGTAAGACGGAGAAGATAATGATTGTATTTGTAAATTACCATTTTGATAGCTGAAAAATCATTTTCATCTAGTGCTTGACTTTGTTATAAAGCAGTTTCCAACATTTGGCTGGGATTCTTGCTAAAGCTAGACAGTCCATGTTTGCTTATTCTTTTGGGAGTTTTATGATCCTTCCAAAAAGGTAAATCTATTTTACTATGGAGATTTTTGTTTTATGAGGTGACAAGTAGTGGTATCTGTTTTCATTTGTTCTGTTTAGGTTATCAGTAGAACATCTCTTATTGTTATTTTCCACCATAGCTAGACTTGTATTTGAAGTAGTGAAAATATTTTTCAGAAATTTTTCAGATTACCAAGAACAGCATGATGATAAAATTGGAGTAATGTGATAAAATAGAAAAGGGATAAAGAAGAAAAAAACTCAAGCAAAAATCCTTTGACTAAATTCATAGAAGTACATTGATTCACATTTTCTATTTATGTTCCTTTTAATGAATACGTAGAGTGTTTAAATGTACTGAGTATGAACTAGGTACTGTACTAAACGTTTTATAAACATTATTTTATTCTTACAACTATTCTGGAAGATAGGGTTGTTATTTGTGCTTTATAGAAAAACAAAACACACACAAAAAATGGAAGCACACTAAGTTTGTCCTTTACATATTGTCACAGAGCTGCTAGTAGATGGTATAGTGTGGACTTGAACTCAGTCTGACTCCAGAATTCATGCTCTTAATCACTCTGCTAAGCTGCTACCCTAATTTTAGAACAGCTTTACAAATTTGATTCCATGGGAAAATTTATTATAAATGCCTCGAGGCATAATTTAGTCAAGTAAGTAAAAACTGTTGCAAGTTGGATAGATCCAGTATTAGTTCTAGGTTAAACTTTACTATGGACTTATTGCTGTGACTAGATTTTGACATACAGTTTCCCTATTTTGTTCAAAGATGTGTTTGTCATTTTGTGATACTACTTGGATTTTAATTAATCATGAAGCTAATCTGTAGAGAAATTTGTAGCTTTAATAAGTTGCATTTTCCCCATTTTGAGTATTTACATATTTGCACATACATTATACATATACATTATACACAAAATTGATGTTGGTAGGGGTGCTATATAGTGTAAATAGAGGAAGATTGCATACATTTTCTTATTTTTCATTCAGTTTAATTTTTAAGAGTTGAATTTATATCACCATCTAAAATCAAGCTTTACTACCAATATTAATATTTCAATTATGATTATGTTCATGTTTTTTTTTTTCCTCTGGTGAATTTCTAGAGTCCCAAGAGCATTGTAACCCTGGCTGTATGATTTCATGATTTTTACCATTTAATTATTTTTTATTTGTGTGTTAGATGGAAGATTGGTTAGAAGTTTTGAGAGAGTTTTTGGATCATTCAAATTGGAAATTATTTCCAAAATAGAGCAGAAATATTTCTATGTTCTCTTAACTGATATTAAAGCAAGGAAAAAAGTGAAACTTCTGTCAGAACCACCTATGAATGATGTAGTGCTATACAACTCTTTATTCACTATCAACACAGTTATATCAGTGATTTTGTAATGGTGAGGAAAGTAGTATATTTATGTCTACTTTGAAAATAAATATTTTTTAAAGTTGATTTTGAGAGAGAGTATGAGCAGGGGAGGGGCAGAGAGAGAGAGGGAGAGAGAGGATACTAAGCAGGCTCTGCACTGTCAGCACAGAGTCCGACATGGGGCTTGAACTCAGGAACTGTGAGATCATGACTTGAGCTGAGATCAAGAATTGGATGCTTAACCAACTGAGCCACCCAGGTGCCCCAAAAATATTTTTATTGAGGTATGACAAATGAAATAAAATGCACACTTAAGTGTGCAGCTGTAGCTCAGAACAACTTTTTATTTCTATAGCTGTAACTACCATCCAGATTAAAATTCAGAACATTTCTAACATATAACATTGATTTTAATCTAGATCATAGTTATTATGAAGTTTTGGGGTAAATTCACAGTTTTGTGGATTTATTTGATGAAAATATTAACCAGTGTACATTTGAGGAAATTAAAATTACTTTGAGACCATAAAAACATCAAGATATCACAGAGAATATTATTTCTGGAACCACATCGAACCATTAATTGCAATATTGTGCCCACAGACAATTCTTCCATGCTGATAAATGATGTAGACTTTTTTTGTACCGTGTGGGAGGAACTGTGGTTTCTCTGCCTAGTCCTTCCCAGAGGGATTATAATACACATCCTTGTATTGTAAGGTGTTTTGGTTAACTTTTTTCTTTTTTTTCCAGAAACTGTTTTGAAGGACTAAATGGAGTTGTAAATGAAAACTAACTCTTAAAAATTTTAGTTTCAGGGATACTTTATTATAAATAACAGGCTGACTGGCGTTAGTAAGCTGTTGGTAGTATTGGGCCATTATTTCTTATTTTGCTTTGGTATTCTTATTACAGTGAAAGTAACTTCTTTCCCAAGTTTAATGAAAAGGATGGGCATGTTGAGAGAAAGAGCCAGAATGGTCTATATGAGATTGAAAATGGAAGACCCAGGTAGGTACTGGGGATGGATATCTTACAATAAATAGGTCTTCAAAAGGTAGAAAATGTAATTAACATTTATTGAGTGTTTGTGTGTGCCAGACAATGTACAAAAGAATTTATATATGTGATCTGATTAAATCATTACAATAACCCTGTGGGTGGATATTTTTAGTTCCATTTACAGATAAGGAGAGAGAATGTAAGCAATTTGCATATAGTAAGTGGCAGAGGCAGTATTTGAGTGCATTTTTTTGTAACTCCACTTTGAAGGTAGAAATAATTAGTTGAATAAATTAACAGAGGAAGGATTGAGAATTGTATGTTTATTAGTTCTTTATTAAATTTATTAAATTAGTGCCTTAAACTAAGAATTTACCCAAACATGTAAGAGTAAAAATAAAAATAACCCAGTAATTTAACATCAAGATTCTTTCTGTACTTTTAAAAATGATTTTTATACACAACTCCAACAATTTCCATTTTCCTTATTATAAAAGTTAGGAAAAAATGTAAAAATTAGCATGCCCCAAATAAAACAAAGAAGGATCAGATTCTGTAATCATGGTTTTTATCTTGCAAAAATGTTGCAACTTGTGTTCTTCCTTCCTCAAGGACAAGGCAATGATCTGTCTTCTCTCACCACAACCTGGTCCTTCAGTTTTGCTAACTCTTTCTTTGGTCATAATTTCACTTTTCTGTCTTTTTAAGTCAGACCTTCTTTGCATTTGACTTATTCCTTAGGTTCTTTTCTGGATAAAAAAATATGTTAAAAGATATTTATCCATGAAAAAGAATAGGCAGCAAAGGCAAGCTAGCATGTTGTTTTAGTCAAGAGTCTAATGGAAACAATTCTAGCTTACCTTAGTAAAAAGTGAACTTTAGGGTTATGGGGTCATCTCAAGCAGTCCGAAGTGTAAATGCAGCTAACTTTAGGTAGAATTGAAAATGTCTCTGCTTTTCTTTCTATGTTGCCTTTTTTTCTCTTTCACTGCAAACAACTTTCTCTGCTTCTCAGACTATAGGGTAGTCTATGTGTCTTTTCCATAGTTTCTGATTTACCAGTTATAAGCTTGGTCATCTATAAAAATGAACTTTCACTCTTTAAATATTGGCTTTGATCATTTGTGTTCGGGGATGTATACTTATTTGGAATAAAACATAGTTGCTGGCCACCCTGCCCCTCCTCCTGTGAATTTGAAAAGTAAAATTACTGTCACCTGGGCAGGTGCCTTGTCTTAACTGAAAGTCTTGCTGATATATTTTTGGGTCTAGTACAGTATAAAAATTCATTCAACTTGAATAACAGTCACAAGGAAGACCAGAATAAAAACAGATGGCTGACAGGGAAAATTTTGGCTGTTTGTGTATTTACTTTCATATATTGGGAGGACAAAAGATATAATCTTAAAAAGATAAGATTGTAGATTAGGGCATTTTACTGGGACATAATGAAAGTTGAACATTTAAGGAATATTCATTGGAAGAAAATTACTCAGGCCTGAGTGTTGCTATGTTCACCTGACAGACTTTTTAACATTGGGTTGTGCTATTGGTTAAATAGTTGGCATTTTTATAAAATTGTTTTCTTTAAAACTTGAATTTTGGTATATTTGAAATCTTGAAATATTGAATAATACTACCTCATTATATGCTACAAAATATATATTATTGGTAATAAACATCCAGAACCCACTGAGAAAACATTTTCTTTAAAAAGTAACAAAAATAATGGGAAGGGTTGTATGAGATGAGAGTAAGAAAAGGGGATGTTGAGAAAGTGAAGAGAAATGTGGGTATCTTGAATGATAAATCATCATTGTTGTAGAGCTAGAGGATCATTAGGTGCAGACCATTCATCTGCCCTGTTGTAAGAGTCCAGTAAGGTGTTAGTTTGTGTTCAGTGAAAACTGAAACAAATTCTCTTATAGAACAGCTTCAGAAATGAGATCTTCCTCCTGGATCAAGCCCAAAGCTTAAGACATGCACAAAAGAAAAGTTAAATAACAGCATAAGGAAATGTGTGATTTTAGTGGCAGATATGTGATAGCGTTGCTGGATTTGGGAGGAGATACTATTTCCCTCTTATTGCACTTACTGCCTTCTTTTGGGCCATGTCAAGTTGGGTTTAAAAAGATGAACATATTCAGTTGATTTTCTATATTCTTTTCCCAGAAATCCTGCAGGACGGACAGGACTGATTGGCCGGGGGCTTTTGGGGCGATGGGGCCCAAATCATGCTGCAGATCCCATCATAACCAGGTAAGAATGAAAAAAAACATTGCAATAGCAAAGAGCCAGGTGATTGGAGAAATATGGACTGTAACTATGTGTTTATACACACACACACACACACACACACACAAACGTATGTATGTATATGTACACATGTATAAATATATGCGTGTGTATACATATATGTATATGTGTATGTATATGCTCATAAGTGCAAACACTGGAAATGTATATTAAAAATTTTTTTTTAATGTTTTTATTTATTTTTGAGACAGAGAGAGACAGAGCATGAGCAGGGGAGGCGCAGAGAGAGAGGGAGACACAGAATCTGAAGCAGGCTCCAGGCTCTGAGCTGTCAGCACAGAGCCCGATCTGGGGCTCGAACTCACAGACTGTGAGATCATGACCTGAGCTGAAGTCAGACGCTTAACTGACTGAGCCACCCAGGTGCCCCTTGAAATGTATATTTTAAAGGGTCTTGATGTGAAATCATACTGATGTGATACAAATGTAAAGTTGTAGTTTTATATGAGTAGGCTAGGCATTATCTGAACAAAGTTAATTCACATAGTGAATTTACTGAACATCTGTTTGTTCTCAAAATTGAGTAGGTGCTTTGGAGGATATAAAAAAAATAAAAGAATTCTATGTTTCAGCTCCCTATCACAGAAGAGCTATGGCTTCATTTGTAAGATGAAAAATATGAACTAAGAAAACGTGTCAAGGTACAATGGCTGAGACAGTCTGATTTAAAAATTAGATTAGATGTGGGTTGTGATGACGGTAAACTGGAACACTGAAGAAAGGCATTATGAAGTAGGCAGACTTGAGCTGAACTTGAAGCTTGGATAGGGGGACAACAGGAGGCCTAAGAAAAAAAGCTTATAGTAATATCTATTAGAGTTTTTTTTTTAATATGAAATTTATTGTCAAATTGGTTTCCATTCAACACCCAGTGCTCATCCCAAAAGGTGCCCTCCTCAATACCCATCCCCCAC